CCAAAAGCACCAATTGTTACACTAGTAAACAATCCTTCCCCTGCTCAATATTTATGAAACACAATGTTGTAACCATTAATTCATTTGAAAAATAAATTTAAAAATAAATAATAAATAAATAAATAAAAATAAATAATAAATAAATTCAAGCACTAGAAGTAAAAATCATGATCAGTAATTCCATTTCAGTTCTCATTTTATAAAGTGTACCTCAATAATTTTAACCATTCAAATTTTTGTGCAACTGTCCTTAAGGTAATATTTTAGTTCTTCACACATAAATGTCAAAATCTTTCAGGTTGAGAATGGAAACTAACTGAGCTGTAAACAGAAGTATACCAATTTATTCTTACCCCTACAATCACAATCAGAAATACTGAAATACCTTATTAAGTAACCTGCAATGCTTGAAAGCTAACTCACATAATGCTTAGAAGCTACTATTTAAAGAGATTCCAAAAGGCCTCTATATAAGGAGGCAAATCAAGACCTCCTCTACCTACTTCTTGGCTATATGCCTAAAGGACACTGTAATGAAAATAAGCCAGATAACTATGTTATCTGAAGAAGCAATTCAAATCTCTGCATTCTAAACAAATTTTCTCATCATAAAACTTCTAAAGGGTCAATATTAATGAAAACTAAGAAATACCTCTCTGATTTTGGCATACTCCACACTGGGGGGGTGGGAACCAAAACACTAGAAGAGCCATGGAACCAATTACTTTCCAGCTCATTACCTCCAAATTCACTTAATGCCAAGCAAGGATAGAAAAGAAAGAGATTCAAGCCATCAATTCTGACTACCCTTGGAAAGGAGGACAAATATGCCATAAACAAGTTCAAAAATAAGCCAAACTTATTCATGGTGATAGAGACTAAAATAGTGGTTACTTCTGGAGGGGAGAATAATAGGAGGGGGCACAAGGCACCTTTCTCAGTGTTCTGTATATGGATCTGAGTAGTAGTTATGTGTACTTATATATAAAATTTCACTGAGCTGTATTCTTAAGATTTGTGCACTTCACTATATTTAAACTATATCTAAATAAAATATATAGGGGTGCCTGGGTGGCTTAGTTGGTTAAGCATCTGACTCTAGATTTCAGCTCAAGTCATGATCTTGGGAGTAGTGAGATGGAGCCCCATTTTGGGCTCTGCACTCAGCAGGGAGTCTGCTTGAGATGCTCAACCTCTCCCTCTGCTCCTCCCCTCTGCTCGCTCTCAAATAACTTAATACATCTTTAAAAATAAATAAAACAGTTAAAAATAACTTACCAATAATGTTCAAATCTAAAAACCTTTTCTCAAATCTCATCTGCGTTGATCATTCTCCATCATATTGCTAATCACAGATCACTAATATACCCTAAGCACAACTCTTTGCCCTTAGGAGACCTATGAGGCTTTGTTAGTATTCTTCCAGCATTTTTCTTGCTCTGCCTCATATTAACTCACTTAAATATTAATATTCATTAAATGCTCATGTGTACAAGACATGATTAAGCACCCTCTAACATATATTTCACATATATATCCTCCATATAAAACAAATTCCCTAGAATCAAGCCACTCTATTACCTGATTTCAAATTATATCTCCTATTTTAATTCCCATCACTACAGATTTGTTCTCCAGCATACTCTTTTCTTAGCTATTCTTTAAAGCTCAGTTCAATTTCTACTTTATCCTTTCTCTGTATTTGTACAGAACTTACTATAGTTTCCCCATCCTTGTACAGAACTTACTACCTATATCTGCAATGTCCAATATGAAAGCCATATCACTAATAAGTACCTGAGGTTAGCTAATCTAAATTGAGATGTGCTTTAAGTGTGGAACACACACTTTTGATTTTGAAGACTTGGCATGGGAAAAAAAAAAAGAATGCAGAATAACTCAATTGTATTTATATATTTTAAAAATGTTTTAAATATACTGGGTTAAATAAACACATTAATAAAATTAATTTTACCTATTTCTTTTTATTTTTTAACAAAGCTATAGAAGATTTTAAATCACATTTGTGGCTCAACATATTTCTATCAGGGGGTGCTGTACTATACAATCTATTTATAAAAGGCCCACAATTTTTTTTAATACGTGCCATCCACCCAATTAGAGTATAAGAATTCACTATTTTTTCCCTTTTATAGTGTTTTTTAAAAATATTTTTTTTATTTATTTGACACAGAGAGGGACATGAGAAAGGGAACATAAGCAGGGGGAAAGGGAGAGGGAGAAGCAGGCTCCCTGCTGAGCAAGGAGCCCGACGCGGGGCTCTAGCCCAAGACCCTGGGATCATAAACTGAGCCAAAGACAGATGTTTAATGACTGAGCCACCCAGGCGCCCTGTAGTGATTATTACATTAGGAATTACGGATAGTAACTAAATAGAATTAAGTGCCTGTTAAATTTTAGTATCACTTTTAAAATATAACAAGGAAGCTTATGGCATTTTAAAATATAAAATTATTTAAAAAGTTGTTCTCTGACGGCTATAAATTGAAAATTCATCTAAATTTTATGTATCTCCAATTTTGAGTTAAATGTCTCATCAGATAGTATTATTAAACCTGTAGCTTTTCTAATACCAGAAAGTATTAGTTCTGATTAACCTACATTATTTTTCTTCTTGGTCACTCAATAAAGAAAAAGGCAGCTTCTACTTTGACCAATATCACTGTACCAATATCCAGTAGCCAAGACAAAGAGCCTTTATATGGTAGTATGAATAAACAATGTGGGCAATAAGATAGCGCTTGAAATAAGGGTAGGCAGAAAAATGCTTTTATAATGTTTTATAAGTAGGAAATAAAACTTACAAATTGTAATAAAAGTATTGTTAAAGTATAGATAGAAAGGAGAGGAAGGCAGAATAGAATTTATCTATAGAAGCAAGCTATGCCTATGTTCAAAGTTGGCTGCTGGACTATTTACTATGTGACATGAGTCTGAATTTGTTTCCTTGCATATAAAATGGGAATATATGTATGTATCAAGCATCATTATAAGGAATACATAGATGTTTAATTAATGTCAGTCTCATATCCCTTTCCTTTAATACTAATAACTATATAATGGTGAAAAGATTATGGGTGACATTTCCCCCCTTCATTTTCCAAACCGCTGAAAGTATTTTTAAGCATATATGAAACTTCTAATTTTTCAGACTCACACCCCTCTGCATGTGAATTTACAATTACTTTTACTAGCTTCCTTTCACAATTTTTAAAAAAAGCTTAAGATTTGTCTGGCAGTGAGAGGAGTACATGGTAGAAGAAAAATTAAAGACAGAAGTAAGTTTAAGATTCTATCAGCAGAAACAAATACAAAACAAAGTATAGAGAAGAAAACAGCAAAAGGAAATGCTGTTTGAGGAAATTCCCCTAACTCAGATTAAGCATTGAAAAGATTCACATGCCTCTCCTCTCCTCAATCTAGCTGCTGTTGAAGCTTCTCTTCTCTCCTATCTGGAGTTTATATGTTATTACGTACAAATACACAAAACCACTCACTTTCTCCTCTCTACTAATGATCACCACCATTCTCACGGTCAAAATTTTAAAGGAGAGTGAAGAAATTTAGGATGTTTTAACAAAGATAAACCAATACATTGGTTGGGAAATAACTTTACTAGAATGTACTCATTCTCAAGTGCCTTTATTCATCAGTTGACAGTAACAAAAGCGAATGTGTTCCTGAAATACTGAACCTGTTTAATAGATTTTGCTGCTAGAACTGGAGAGGGCAAACTTTGGTGCCTGCCTCTGACTTCCTTACAACCTTACCTTTATAGACATGGGTCTAAAAAAGGAAAAGCAGCAAAAGTATACGATTCCAAATCACATGCAGATGAAAATATCAAGTTACTATAAAAAAATTAAACAATGGTAATAGTAATAACTATTATTATAAAAGGTTAACATTTGTGTATTCATTGTGTACCAGAAAGCTAAGGACTTTACGAGAATTATGCAATGTAAACCTTAAGCTTCTATGAAGATGTTATTACTGTTAAATCCTCTTACTTAGTGCTCACACAGCTAGATTTTTTTTTTTAAGTCCTCTCTATGCCCAATGTAGGGAGTGGGGCCTGAACTCACAACCTGACTCAAGACTCACATGCTCCACCAACTGAGCCAGCCAGGTACCCCCACACAGCTAGATTTACTTCAAGGCTTACGCTTTTAAACCTTATCTCATCCTGCTTCTTTATTCATATACAATTATAAATGCAACTATGATTTCCTGTGTGTGTATGTGTACATATACATGCTTGTGTGTGTGTGTGTGTGTGTGTGTGTGTGTATTATTCAGTAAATCAATAATAAGCAGCAGGAAATTAATTCCCACTTTGGCAAGGTTTTATCCACCTTCACAAACCATTCAACAATTGGCAATCATTCCCTCCCCAATAAATGCTGTTTTGAAAATAAAAGTTACATTTAACATCTTTCTCAAGAAACTGATGAAAAAGATTTGCATTAAGCCTTCCAGTAAAAGGATAAATGCTATGAAAGAAAAGGATAAAAATGTTAATCTCTTATAAAACGTAGATAAAAAAACTGATATCATACAGATATCTATGCTTTGTATTTTAATCCTAACACTTTATTAGGATTTTATTTTAAATTACCCATTTGGTCCCTAACATATTTACATTTCTGGACTTTTTACAAAGTCTTTTAAAAACTTTTAAAGGCTATATATTCAACTTCAATGAATGATACACATACTAAAAGGCTTATTACCTAAAAATCATATTTATCACTCTAACCAACTTCAACTGTACCACAATCTAGACTAATAGAATTAAATTGCAAGGAACAAATGACTCATCTATACTTTTTACAAAGTTACTCACAAGATCACAGTTCGAAGAATCCCAAATGAAATGGGAAGGCTATAGCTTGCAAACAGAAGAGGTAAAGCAAACATTAGTAGAGGGAGAGTATAAAGGTAGTATCTTAGAAACACTAATCTTAATCCAGCCTCACTTTCCTCCATTTGGAAGTGTGCGCTGCTGCTTCTGTCCTGGCATGCTTCTTTTCTTCTCCCTGAAATCCTCTGCTTTTCTCCTCCTGGAAAGTTATCTCACAGGACTTTGTTTTCCATGCTAACATCTCTCAATTGTCAAAGGATGTCCTATCTTGAATTTAAAAGAACAAAAACATAGTAACTCTTCATAATCACATAAGAGTTCTAGTAAATTCAAAGAGGATAGTAACTCCACAATTCAAATTTGGCAGATTTTAGAAAAAACTTAACAGTAGAGCAACTAAGACCCTAAAGATGAGAAAATACCTTTTTCATGGAGAACCCCCCCCCCCATCTTCCTGAAGAAAGACTATGAATTGAATTTGCTGTTCTACCTTCTAGGTCTCTAATGATCTTTGTATTTATTTTTAAGAGAAGACAGAAATACTTCAGCCAACCAGCAGGGTGAGCTAGTGGTAGAATCAGATTGATTACTGTCAATTTTCTGAAAATTCAAAGATGTAAATGGTTTATAATATTAAAAGCAATGATATCCCTCTAATAAACCTGAATTAAAAGACAATACTTCTAGAACTGCTTTAGTCATTGCTACATCTCATAACTTTGTAAATATTTACAAATTCCATCTATAAAATAGTCTCTATAGGGATTATTGTAAAAAGTTAGAACTCATTTGAATACCTATCCAAAATATCACAGTAGCCATCCTTTATTCTCATGTTTTACTATATAGAGTTATCAATTAAAAAGTTAAAAATACGTTTTTAAAAAGAATGTTCTAAAAATTAGGAATTGTTAATTCATCACACCTATTTCTGAATTCAGTGCAAACCTCTGCCTTAAGATTGCCTGAAAAGCAATCATGAGGAAAGTATTCCTACAAGAATAAGATCCACTCTTTTCCTTTGGAATCATACCATGAGAAGAATCTAAGTAAGTAACCCTAACACTAACTGTGTATCTCCGACAAACCTGATCTTTTCTATCAATTTCTCTAAATTGCAGGTATCCCCACCACTCCCAGTAACTGTCCTTGACTCTCTCTTCTTGTCCTGCTACCCAATACAGTCTCAGTTCAACCACACCAAAACTCTCCCTCTTATAACTTGAGTAACAAACTAAAACTGCAAAATGTTTAAGGTTTGCAGGTAACAGACTCATTCTGTAATTACAAATCATCTGAGAATAATCCTAATTATCATAAGACTAAAATGCAAGTAAACCCACTCACATGGTGTTGAAAATAAAGCAATAGCTTACCAACTTTCTTCAAAAATCAGTAATTTAAACACATTTTAAATAACCCATAAAAGCTTTAAAACCTCAATACAATTTAACAAGTTTTTGTTATATTTGATAAAGAAATTAAAGAACTGTGAGATTCTACTATAAATGACTTTGCTACTTGTTGAATTTCCTAATAGATCTTACAGATCTATTCGGTGGTCGTAGTAATCTTAACAAATTTTTAACAAAAGCCAATCTAAGTGGCACGTCCATTTACCCAAAAAAAAATCTATTACAAAATGAAGGCACTACATCATTGTTTTTGGCATCTCATTTCTTATGTAATAACTGGTAGTAATGGCAGTTACTTCAAACTTTCCAAGAAGTTCATCAAGCTATTTGTTTCTTTAAATTTTGGGGGTCAAGACTGCTTTCTGAAAAACTTGAAATTCAAAAGCAACATTGCTCCAAAATTAACCTGAAATGTCTGTATTTGGTATCTGGAATTATTTCACTGGAAGTCACTTTAAAAACTACATCACCATATCATGTTAAATAACAGTTTTTAACTTATTGTCACAAAAGTTCTCATTAAAATAATAGTATGTAACAGATACTTTCAAACATACTCCCTTGTTTCATTTTTCAACCATTAGTTACAGAGAGTCACCTTCTCATCCCAGCAATGTGACCAAAGAAAAGAGCAATGGGGTAGAAGCTGAAAAGATAATTTTCTATTATGCACTAACATAATCATATCTGGCCCTCAATATATCATAAAACAGTGGGTATAACTAGCTGCTCCCTGAGATTCCTTTCACTCTAACACTGAATGACTCAATAATACATTTTGCCAATGTTAATGTATCTTCTATTCATTAATACAATAAGATTGTTCTCTATTAGAAGAAAAGCTAAAAGGGGGAAAATATATATCTGAAAGAAGCAAGGAAAATGAAAGTTTTAAGTTACATTAAAAAATTCAAATTTTAATTTGAACAGATCTAAAGTTAACGATCTCAATGTGTTTCTCCCTCCAATCACATTATTTACTCTGTTAATGTGACCCAGCCAAAACAAAACATTAGTTGTCTCCAAGTTTTGTATTTAAAATCCCAGTTAACACAATATACAAAGTATGATGCAGCCATAAGTGCAGCATAAGGTTATGTTAGATTTCTAAAATTTACACTGCCATGATTTTAACAGCAATATACTTATCACTGCACCAACAGTGGTCAAGCCTTCATGTTTCACCAATTAAAATGTCTAAACCAAATTATAACTTCCTCATAAAAACTAATTTTTTCTCACCAAAACTACCAAGGCAAGATTACTGCCATCAAGTTCCCTGGATACTTACACACGACACTGAAGGCAAAGAGCAGGTTTCCTTTGAGTAACTTGAGTTGTCTATTTTTTGAAATGCTGTCCTTCTTCTTGGACCAAACAAATGGAACTAAACTACAGCAGAGAAGCAATATACTATTAAGGCAAATCTAATCTATCATCCAGATGCAACAAGACTGGCATTAGTCGGAAATGGCCAGAAGAGATGATGGTGTTTTGGTATTTCTGTTGTAATTATTGACTTGTATACAAAACAGGACCATCATTTAGGCCCTCATTGTGTTTACCCCCTTGTTGAGTACTTCTTAATGACCACACAAAATCTGAAGTCTAGACATCAAAGTTTTATAAAAACTAAATTTATGTCAGTATTACTCAGTTCAAGAAAAGTTTTCCACTAATGTTGCTAAACCATGGATGGATCCCAACACGAGAGTCGTCTGTGGAAGTCTCGTAACAAGAAACCTTTAGCTCCACCACCTAAGTTTCCAATCACTGAGAAGGGTCTGGGACAACTCATCTTCAGGTTCACGGGAGAAGTGGAGCACACCTGCTTTCCTCTGGCAGAGATTAAGCTCCCAGGGACACAAAGGCCAGGGAATCAGACCTGGAGAAGCAAAAAGCTTTAGCTGGACACCCACCAAGCCCCTGGCAACCCAAACACTTTGGGCGATTTACCTCTTGCTGTTACTTCCCAGGCACCTAGCGGCATAAGATCTTGCAGAACAGGGGGAGGGGACGGCTATGCGGTCCTGGTCCCACGTTAGGGGAGGGGTGTGTACAGTTAATGCCAGAACTGGCGCTTCTGGCCAAAACTGAGCAGCTCCGGAGAGGGTTTGGTGACTGCTCTCGGACCGCCCCGTTACTCAGTGCTTTGCAATGGCGACCGCCAGGCTCCCCAAGCCGCCTGATCTCGGCCCCTTCCCCCTACTGCTCACTGGCTGCTCGGCTTCATGTGACTAAACAAAACCCCCAAGTCTAGTGCCCAGCTCAGCCCCTTTGTGTCCGCTACCGGATTCTCCGACGCCGCCGTGGAAAGGTCCCCCACCCCCACCCCCTCTCCGTCGAGTCCCGCCCCGCGGCGGCGGCCGCCGCTCACCTCAGGCTCCGCCGCCCCCCGCGGCCGCCGCGGCCGCCGCCTCCCCGAACCCGGGGCCCGGGCTCCTTGTGTAGCACCAACTCCGCCTCCTCGGCCGCCGCCGCCATCTTAGCCTGTGCGGCAAAACGCGTCCTTTTGGATGGTTGGGACCCAGCCTAGGGCGTAGCTGCCCGGGCCCGAGCGCCGAAGGTCGGGTCCCCCAAGTTCTTCCGCCACCCTCAATCCCGCCGCTGCCACAGCCCAGAGGCCCGAAACCCACTCGAGTCCCGGAGAATCCGACCAAATAACCCCTGAAACTCACAGTTTGGTGCCGTGTGCGTCAAACCGGGGCGACGTTGGGAGCGCGCGGCGTCCCCGCGTCACACGCCGCTCTGTACGCTACTCGGCTCCAACGGCCCCCCTCCGCTCCCCGCTTTTCGCCTCCGGCCCCGGTTCCCACGGCGCAGGCGCGCTGCTTTCCCGCCTCTACCGAGCTGCGGGCCGCGGGGGCGGCCAGCGAGGAGCTCTTGGGCTTCTTTGCTCTGATGGAGCGCCTGGGCCAATTAGGTAAACGGGGGCAGCAGAAACAGTGCACCACTGTTCTCGGGTGCCAGAAACCAAACAAGGTCACCTCCCCCAGCGCTGATCTAATCACTCTCAAGGAGGTTCCCGCCCCAAAGTAGGCACGCTCCAAATATGGTGGTGCCCAAACTCTGCAAGACCCAAGCACTTAGGCAAGCCTAGGCCCTTTAAGGTGGAACAGGCCCATATTTGATTTCCATAATCACTAGCGTGCCAGAATTCCTTTTCTTTTCTTACTGTTGATGAAAACAGCTAAGGAACTCAAGATCTCCAGTCACAACTGTAATGGCAGAGAAAGGTTTGGATCCTAAGGGAACCAATTGTTGGGAGATGCTTGATAGCCAGGCAAAGCATCAAATGTGGCAACTCAATTAGCAGAGCAGCCTACCCTAAAAGGTACCCAGGATTTGGCCCTATTTGATTCTTTCAGATTTCAAGTGCAGGGAGGACATTTTCTCCCCACGTTACTCAGTATGCCAGAAGTCTCCAAATTAAGGTTATGTAAGAGGCAATTGAGATACCGGTTAACTCTTCAATGAATCAGTAGGTTCCCAGAGAGTTCTGGAAAGCTTCCTTTTTAACAAGCATCCACCCCAAGAGACTGAGAGCAGAGTTTCACACACTATACTTCGAGAAACACTGACTTGGGCTGTTCTCTTTGCTTTTGAACTGAGCAAACAAGAAGTTGCTAATATGTTTGACATGAGCTAAAAGTTCCCAAGGAATCTAAAAGTCCTGTCTTAATAAATTCTTCAGCTTTTCTGAATCTCTGTTTTCAATTTAAAAGGAAAAAAAGTTTCATTAGTTTAGCAATTATGATAAACTGTGCTCCTCCAAACCCTCAAGATGTTACTGATACTCAGAGAAACACAGTACAATTGCGCTTATTTGATAAGAATGAGGAACATTCTCTTTCCTGTACTATAGTGACTATCAACAGCAGCAAACACAGATCTCCGAAAACATATTTATACTTGCTGCATTAGTTAATAATAATAGACAACACTTTTTTTAATAGCTAACACTTGAGCTCTTACTAGGTACCAAATACTTTTCTAACTCAATGAATTTCATTACAACCTAGTAAGGCAAAGGGAGATCAGGTAATTTTCTCAAAATCACACAGCTCTTTAAACTCTTTAAAGTGTGAATTTTCCTTCCTTATTTACGTAAATGGGTAAATAATAAAATATAAATGTGTATATTTTTTAAGCAAATTGAGGGGGGATCCCTTTGGGTCATCTCATCTGCAGAATCATTAAAATTGGAACTTATCCATTTACTACTGGACTTACAATTGATAAAAATACTTTGTACTTGAAAATTCTCCCAACATTGAGTCACTACAAAAGCAACTACCAAAAAAAAAACCATGAACAAAAAAACCCAACCTCTGTTGTAAATGTATACTACTGACTGACCAAGATGTGCAGACAGATCCTATTATAAGCAAATAGAACCACTTAGAACTCAACCATGATCCAGAACTTGTCTTACTAATAGAAGCTGTTTATACTAGAATCCACCAACTAAAATGTGATACTATAGATACAGTAGTACAAGTAATAGTAGTAATTACAAAGTAAAAGTAGTAATAGTTAATGAAACTATAAACAAAATAGATATCAAAAAACTTGATAAGGGTAGAAAGCTTGAAAAAGTTAATACAAAAAGAAAAAAAAAAGTAGGCAACTGGAAAAATCCAAGGCCCAGTTATGTGGTAAAATGCCAAAATATTTAAAGACATTAAAAGGAAATGGCAGTTGAGAATAAACATCCAAGATGTGGAAAACAGTTTGACCCTGGCAGAAAATTCACAAAACATATCTATTCACTGTAATAAAGTAATGCTCTGATAAATACATCTAATTAAGAATCTTTTAAAAGAAAGAAAGAGAGGGGTACCTGGGTGGCTCAGTTGTTAAGCGTCTGCCTTCCGCTCAGGTCATGATCCCAAGGTCCTGGATTCCAGCCCCACATAAGGCTCCCCGCCCAGCAGAAGCCTGCTTCTCCCTCTCCCACTCCCCCTGCTTGTGTTCCCTCTCTTGCTGTCTCTCTCTCTTTTTCTGTCAAATAATTAAATAATCAAAAAGAAGGAGGAGGAGGAGGAGAAAGGAGAGAAGAAAGTTATTCCAGTGAATGGAATTACCCAGTAAAAGATACAAAGTAAACTGTGGTCTCAAATGACTTAATCAAAAAGAAAATGCAGTTTGATTTTGGATAAAGCAGAAAACTCTTCACATTCGAATACTTTTGAATTCCAAGCAATAAGAAAAAATGAAACCTCATTAATCCACTATCTTAGTAATAAAGTCAAGTTTTGGATTTATCTTAGGGCCTGACTAGTTCTAGACTCACCTCTGAATACCAAGACTATAAGGTAGTCTCATTTGTGGAATTGCAAATATTATGTTTGTCAGTTGGGGTGGGAAGTAAGAGGTTGTTTGGCATGGGAAAAGATGAAGCAAATAGAAATCAAGTCTTATATTTTCTTTGTCTCACATTAACTCCAGCACAGAGCCCTATATATAGCAGGTATGCAATAAACAGTTTTGTTCAATTCAACCAATATTCACTGACTGCTGACTCTATGCAAAGTGCTGTACTAGGTACCACAGCAAAAAGAAGAATAAGACGGTTTGTTGTACATATTTAATAAATCGTAGTTGAATGCATGAGGAGCTTTTACAGTCCAATAAAAGAACTAGCAAAAACTATCATCAACTCTGAATTTACTACGGAATAGGGAAGATGAGGAAATAGATAATAAAGATTTCAAAATCATGGCTAACACAGAACCTCATAAGGGGTGCCTAGGTGGCTCAGTCAATTAAGTATCTGGCTCTTGATCTCGGGATCCTGAGTTCAAGCCCTGCTTTGAGCTCTTTGCTCGATGTGGAGCCCTCTTAAAAAAATAAAAAAAAGTTTTTAAAAACAAAACCTTATAAAACACAGTACAAAATAGGTTAAATACATATATATTAATATTTAGTAGGAATTATATTTAATATTTAGGAACACATTCCTTACATAACAGCATATCAGAAATAGACCATGAGAGTCCATGAGAATATATAAGTTTGTTCACAGAACACATGTAGAGAAAGAAAATAGCTATGGAAACTTAAATAAATATTTAAGGAATAAATGGAGAAGTCTACAAAAACAAGAAATGGAGGGACAGAGGTAAAAAAAGAGATTCAGGCATGAAAGTAACCCCACAGAAGCCAAGGAAGTATTGGTAACAGCTGACTACCATAACAAATAACCTCAATGGCTTCACACATTCAAGTTTCATTCTTACTCAGGTCACCCTCCACTGTAGTCAATGGGAAGGAAAGAGAAGGCCCCAAAGCACCGAAAGTCCTCCCACCATTTGACTATGCCATCTCCTAAGATCTTAGAGTCTTCTATGAGAAGACTCTTCTGCAAAGAAACGGAGAGTACACATGGAGAAACGAGTGCAGTAAGCTGAAGTGGCCAAGCCCAGAAGTGGCACAAATCACTTCTCACTTTCCACTAGTCAGCAACTTAGTCACATGGTCCCACTTAACGGCAGGCGGAGCCTCAGAAATGTAGTTAGGCAGTGTGCCCTGGAGGAAAAGGAAATGGGACTGGTGAACACAAAGCAGGGGCTCTGCACATCCTGAGTAAATGTAGCAAAGAGGTTATGAAAGATAAGTGGTGTCCACTGGGTATACAAGATCATTGGTGACCTTGGTAAGAGCAATGTCAGTGGAGTGACTCAGCCCACAGCAGTGGGTTCAGGAGTGAATGAAAAGGAAAGAAGGGGAAAGAGCAACTGAGCCACTGGACGCACGAGGCTGAGAGACTAATCTCAGACTCTAGGTAAATGCCACTGCTCAAGGATTCTTGGCAACTAACCATTCAGCCTTCTCTTGGTTAGAAGAAAGCCCTCACTAGATCTTCATCAAATTTCCACACACATTAAATTGGAGAAATGCCTTTATTGTTTATTTTTTTCCACAGTGAAAGATTCCAGATGTTCTGGGATATTTGGCTGAGATCCATCCAAGGAAAAAGGGCATCTGCAATTTCAGCCATCCCATGTGCTTTACTATAGAAAATGAACATAAAATAGCAAGCCAATATTTTCCAGCATATGTATTGATTTCCTCTGTAATCAATAATTAGGAGTTATAACTGTACAAATATGTTCCTTTTACTACATTCTAATAATTAGAAATTAGACTTTGATATCTCTAGTTTAATTGTAAATAAAATTAAATATCTTCAAAATGAAACTTAAAATTTTCTCTATCATCTACTTAAATTTTCTAAATATGTTCTAAATACATTGAAGAAGGAAAAGAACAGTAGTTATAACCTTTAAAAAATAGATTTAGGAATCATTTAGTATGAAATAAAAATAGAGTCCTAAAAATATGATACAATAATGTCACCATTATTTTTCTTATCCATTTCTCTTTTTGTTCCAGGACATTAAATTTTTTCTTATAAACTCTGTCAGATTCATTCCTGATTGTCATACTTCACCCTTAACATAGAATGGCTTTGGTCTCCAGGTAGCTGATGAATTTAATTCTTTTCTACCTAGGCCTGAATGGTACACTGAAAATATGGAGTCATTCCCTTCTTTAACATTCACATAGTGCCTACAATATTTCAGACATTGTACTGGGCCTCTTGGAAGATGTGAAGGTAAGTAGAACACTCTTGACTCTCAAATGTCTTATGGTCAAATAGATCAAAACTCACATGCTCAAAGTGCTGTTTGCATTTTAAAGTTGACAAAGAAAGAGATCAGCTCATTGTTCAACTAGTGCCTCATGTGGTAATGATAATGCCAATAAGTCATTTTCTTCTAGGGTTTGGCTCTTAGCTTTGCAGTTTGAGAATCAATTAGGACAGAATTGATCAAGCTCAGAAGCATGAAATATATGAGAGACAACTGTATAAATCACATGTTAATATATTAATTTACAGGAAAAGTTTTGACTGCCAACCATAATAGAATACTCAGACGGATTGATCAA